TTGTTGCCTTCTTAATGACGTTGGGACCATCAGTTGTGTTGTGCAGCAGTCAGGTTGGTGCACAGCTGACAGGCCTGTTTGACAACTGTTAGAGTTCAGATTACGTCGAGAACCAATCAGCTAAGTAAAGAGAAATAACAGCCCATCATTACTTTAACAGCTGAAGGTCAGTCAGTCAGAAAACTGCTAAAACTTTGAAGTGCAGTTGTAAAAACCATCAAGACCACGATGAAGCCGTCTGACATGAGGACGCCCCAGGAAAGGAAGACCAGGCGTCCCTCTGCTGCTGAGGATACGTTCATCTGAGTCACCAGCCTCAGATTAGAGCCCAGATAGACGCCACACAGAGCTCCAGGAGCAGACACATCTCTGCATGTTCAGAGCAGACTGTGTGGATCAGGCCTTTATGCTCAAACAGCTGCTGAGACACCACGACTGAGGAAAAGCAACAAGAAGAGATTTGTTTGGGTCAAGAAACACAACGAATGGACTTTAGACCATCTGTGCTTTGGTGATGAGTCCACAGCTGAGATCTTTGGTTCCACCTGCTGTGTCTTTGTGCAGAAAAGGTGAACGATGGTCTCTACATGCATGGTTCCCACTGTGAAGCATGGAGGAGGTGTGATGGTGTGGGGGGGCAGCACAATGACCCCAAACACACCTCCAGGCTGTGTGAGAGCTGTTTGACCAAGAAGGAGGGTGATGGAGTCACCTGACCTACACCCAGTGGAGATGGTTTGGGATGAGATGGAGCGCAGAGTGAAGGCAAAGGACCAACAAGTGCTCAGCATCTCTGAACTCCTTCAAGACTGTTGGAAACCATTTCAGGAGACGAGCTCATGAAGCTCAAGAGTGAGCGAAGCAGGAATCAAAGCAAAGAATCTAAAGTATGAAAGTTATTTCTCTTTTTGTTTACTGCATAATTCCACGTGTGTGTTCATTGCCTTCAATGAGAATCTACAATGTAAATAATCATGAAAATGAATAAAAACCATTAAAAGAGAAGGCGTGCCCAAACTTTTGACTTTACTAGGCTTAAAGTTTTGGTTTGCATCAATTCTTTTGTAATTTTCCACTTTCACACTGACAGCAGAGCGGTGAGGCAGTGCTGCGTCATCGACACCTCACAGGTTTCAAGCAGTTGAGGGATGATTAGAATCAATCCTCAACATGTAAACAGTGCAAAATCAGGAAAAATGATTAATAGTAATATTAGAGGATGAGTAGTAGTGATGTGTGGATCGATCCTGAAATATCGATTCCTCCGATACCAATCATTTATGTTCTAGAATCGATTCTCACATTAAAATATCGATATTTTAGTAATTTAGGGTAAATTTGTAGTTTATCATTAACAGGAACACAGTGGAAAGAAACTATAACATTCGGATCGTCTACATTCAAAGGAACTACTTCTTCTTCCGCCTTTCATAGTCGTGTGCAAAATACGGCTGTATAAATGTCTCGCAGCCGCTGGCGTGCGCACTCACAACAATGGCTGAGCGTAATTGGAGTCATGTG